CCACAATTTGCAAAAACATCAATTTTAGTTTATTTTAATTAAATATAGGGGTAAGCGGTTAAATAAAACATAAGCATTAAAGTAAGAAGTCGTCTTGGAAGACTGGATTTGGTAAATATTGCTTAAATAATTTTTATTTCAAAAATATTCACTTGATCCCTAGACACTTTTGATGTGTGTATATAGGTATAGTTCAAGGTCATTATAAGATAAGACGATGAATGTGATGTAATGTGAATTAAGCACGTTTTTGCTAATTATTAAAAACTAGATTGTTTTAATGAATTTTTGTAAGAACAATGATATTTAAATTTTTATTTAATTGAATTGATATTCAATTATTTTTTGTGAAATTGCTCCACTAGTTTTGTTATAATTATTAATACAAAGATCCTTCCTACAATTCCTTCGATCTGGCCGGATTTGAACCGACGTCTTCTAGCATACCGTGCCAGACACTATACCAATTAAGCCACGGAACGAACTTTTTTAGTCGTAGCGCCATCTATGAGAAATCTATGAATGTTTTTCATAATTATAACAATGGATTTTTTTGGTTAATTTTGTTTTCAAGTTCAAATTATAAAATTGACCTGATAATCCGTCGGTGTTAAAATAAATTAATTCAGAAACCTGATTTCCAGTAATTGGCAAAAACGTGTTTGATCCCTAGACACTTTTTAGTACAAGTACATCACATCAGAGAAAACTTTAGTTACAAAGGACAGAAGGTTTATAAGAAACTTCTAAAACTTTGCATGTGGTGTTTGTTTCTGTGTCTAAAGGGTAAAGAATTGAGTGCAAGTTAGAAAAAAGAGCAGTGTGAACACATTATTTAAGGATTGTACTTGTATTCAGCTAAAAGGCGTATATTGTAGCATTGTAGTATTGTACGAAGACAGTGAACATATTAATCCTCTCGGGAACCGCCGCGTCGGTCGAGTAGAAATAATGCCACAATGCTTTTAATCCCAACGAAGTATATAAAATGCTATTACAGCCAGATTAGCGAATTTTTATTTTTCAAAGTTATAAAAGGATGCCACGACCAGGTCGCCTAAAATAGATTAATATGTTTGTTGTATCCACGCGTTTTATCACCTGGCTTACGGGGCCTATTCACAGAGTATATTCTCACTGGGATTGTTTCAAATATATCGTCCATTCGGTGCTACTAACGCCATTTTCTATTTTCTTTGTAAAATAGAGTTAAATATCGGAAATAAAACAATTTTTTTTAAATCTAAATCTTTATAAATCGCGAATATCAAATAAATCGATATTAAATTGTCAAAACAACCGTAACAAGTGCTTCCATTTGGGGAAAAAAAATTAAAAAAATGTATTTTAGTAATTAGAAACTGCCTCTGTGGCGGCAGAGGTCCCAGGTTCGATTTCTAGGCTAAAAGAAATATTTGTATGGTCTACATTTATTTCTCTCGTAAATTTCTTTTTTTTTTTATATTAAGTGAAGCGACGAACAAGTCGTGCGCCTGATGGACACGCCTATTCATACAGTGCCACTCAGAGCTTTGAATCGCAAAGATCTGGGGGGCTCTGCCACTGCACCCGTCACTCTGACACAAAAGTTGACAAGTTCCATGTGCCACTAATTTCACCAGCACCCTTACCTTTCAAAACCGGAACACAGTAATGCTGACATTACTGCTGGGCGGCAAAAATAAGGTAAGGTGGCAGTACTACCCTGGAGGAACTCTTTCACAAAGAGCTCTTCTGCTACTAAAGTCATAGCACACGTTACTTATTTAATGTGTCTGTATTTATAGTTACATTTATTATCATTTCAAATCCATGTTTTGTAAAAGTGTAGTACAATCAGTGTAGTAAATGAACGATATAAAAAAGCGCCAAGTATTGGTCACGAAAACAATAGACTAAATAAAGAGGACGTGCATGATTAAATGGATTAATATAATGCTAACGTGTTTTCTTGATTATTCCAAAATTTATAACCGAGATTAACCAAGTATTCGAAGTTTTTTTTATTGCAATAATAAGTATATCTACCAACTTCCGAGACGTTTTTAGGTAATTTGACCAAATTAGTTTGACAGTGGTTTACAGTCACTCCATATGGCCGTAAAAGACTTTTTACAGGTTTTATGATCATGACTGAGATGGTGTTTAGTCATCGACCAGTTAAGTCTAATGTTAATGCAAACCACCCTATTCTGAATAATGATTTCATAAAATCAAGTAGGTACATTATTTCAGAAAACCAACCTCAACAGTCATTCATCCCCTAGTTTGCCACCCTTAGAGGTGGAATATTTTGTTCAAATTTAGATGGGACCACTTCTGAGGTACTACTCTTACCAACAAAAAAAGAATCATCAAATTGGGTTCACAAATGCCAGAGTTATCGCGTAACATACATAAAAAATAACATACAGTTGAATTTAGAACCTCCTCCTTTCTTGAAGTAGGTTGAAAAGAAAAGCACATTCGAGCTAGATCCGAAAAAAAAATGTTTAATCTCCAATGAACAGTGTACGTAGCTGACATAACTCTCTAACCGTCCGCGTGTACGGAAGTCAGTCAACGTTCGTCGCCTGTTTCGAAGGATTCCAGCAATATATCTTACCATATTAGTAATTGCAGGTAAATCTTATTGATCTGTTTAAATTCCAGTGTACAAAACAATAATAAAGATCACGTATTTAAATCGATTTTTTGCTTCTTCGAACATGTGCGGGCGTGTAAAAAACCCGACCTCAAATGTACGTGGAATTACATCTATTTGCCAAGTTTTATTGAAATCGGTTACTGGAAAGTGCGCAAACCGAATTCATCCTCTAGTTCGCCATTATACGAAACTTGACACAGGAGATAATAAAAATCGGTTCTCTCTACTCAAAGTATATTTAGAGAGAAAAACGCCTTAAATTGGAGAATAGCAAAATCAACCATTAAAATAATTGCTCCTTATATTAAAATTTAAGCGCTATTTATAAAAATAAATCTTCATGCGACCTTTAGAGGTGGATGATTTTCTTCAAAATTAAATGGGATCACTATGGAGGTACCCTCTTTCCAACAAAAAAGTATCATCAAAATCGGTTCACAAACACCGGAATTATCGCGTAACATACGTACAAAAAAACATACAGTCAAGTTGAGAACCTCCTCCTTTTTGGATGTCAGTTAAAAATAAGAACAGGGGCCCGATGGCGACAGACGGGGCAACGGGCGGTGCGGCGCGTCGTCAAACCGCTGGGCAATTATGAAATTTTGAGATAAATGCGAATTTCGTAACAACAGGGTTTCAGTTGAAAACCAAAAATTTTGCAGGTTTTCTGTAGTATTTAAAGGGAAATATCTCCATATAAAAATTATGGGTATATTTAGATATTTTATTCATAAATAATTCGTTTTTTACTTTTATTTTAGCCTGTTTTCAGGATTTTATATGATCGGGCGAAGTACATCCTATCTTTTAGACAATATCCATAGGTGTATCGTATAGTTTTTGTAAGACCGTTACCTTTAATAGTAAAAACATAAACCATTTGATCTAGTAAAACAGTTTTACCGCTTCTCTTCCAGTGACTCACCTTCACAGTGAAAAGCTAACTGGACGACGTGATGGACAGCTGAATGTGCGGTATAATAGGCATAATACATTTTATCGTCTGTCGCGGACGTCTGCATAGGTCATCCGCGTCCCACTGTTAAGGGGCCTAAGAACTCGATATGGACGTAAAAGATTGTCAAAATACACAGAGGTACAATAATAAATTGTACTTACTTAGCACACTCGATGACTGCATAGAAAGGTCCGCCGAAAAAGTGCCGCCGCAGATTCTGTCCGTACAAAGAGCCTGGGCAGGAGAAAGTCTTCCGACATTGGCAGCGCAGGGCACCAATAGCCAGTCATTGGCGCAAACGTTCGCTCCAGCACCAGAGCCGATCATAGAGTTTACTGGCGTGTTGCTATTACCGCTAAGTGTGAATGCTCGAGAACGGTTGTTCACTGAAAGATATATTAATTATGTAATAGGTATCTTATTTATAACCTTAACAACATAAAACAATAGCAACAATGACGTTCTACGTGGTCGGGTGGCTTGCATGCCGATTTTCATGGTGTTGTCATCCCAGAGGTCCTGGGTTCGATCCCGGTTGGGTTAATTTAGAAACTAACATTTCTGTTTTGTCTCGGGTCTGGGTGTTTGTGGTACTGTCAATAGAGGGTTTTACACAGACAATTTATTTAATAAAGATGTTGGAAGGAAAAAGGAAAGACTGCGCATTTGCACTTATTTCCATCCGATCCCCTAAAACCGATCCCCGGGGATCCGTTTTATTTTAAATTAGTTTTCTATTCCCATCGGATCCCCAATGCAGTAGATCAAGAATAAATATTAATACTTTATTCCCACCTGATACTCTGGTACTTTCAAATTTATTTTTGGTAGGTACAGTCAACAAGAAAACGTATTTATCTCGTCAAGAAGATGTATATCATTATATGTGATAATCATAACATTAAACTAGATTTTAAATATTGTTCAAGACTGATTTATGTCCCTTGTGATTGGCAATATGCCAATGTTAATGACATGTCACAAGAAAAAAATGATTGGCTGTGATAATTGTAACATTTGATCATAATTCCTCAATAAATTATTATTTGATTTCAAAACTTCTTTTTCTCTTGACTGTACTTATCTTACATATATAATGAGGGGATCCGTTTTAGTTGCATAATATAGAGGTGTTCAGTTGCAATTTGAAATTGGCGGTGTATCAGTTTTGGGGACCAGTTGAGAATAAATCAGTCGCGCGCGCAATCGCGCACTCCAAGGTTGCCTTTAAATTCTGTTGTAGTAAAAACGTACACGAGCTATTGCGCGCGACAGAACGCTAGCTTAAAACAAATCAAACAGACAATCGGGCACGATTGCGCGTGCAGGCTTCCCCGCGCGCAGTCCTGTACGCCCATGATCACGCGTGATACAGTGAGCGTGTAAAGGGAAGTATCTCTTATTTCCATAACACAAGTGCTTTAGTTACTTAATTTGGGATCAGAGCAACGTTATGTGATATTAGACAACATATTTATTTAATTATTGCACTAGAATCCAAGTCTGCTAACTTTAAATCATCTCAGTTGTGTGTCATTGTAAAGTCTATCACAGGATTTTGTACGTTAACGTCGAGCGAGTCGACGACACGTCTGTGGTGTGATCTACTAATTTATTCGACGTTTCTTTCGATGGCCTCTTGCGAACGCATTGCCATCGATTTACTATTGAACAGAGACTGGTATTATATTGGTGGTTAAACGAGATACAAATTACGATATGCTTAATAATTTTCATGTACTAGTTTTAGTAACGCAACATCGATTGTTAGCTTAGACTATGGACCCCGAAATTACTATGGCCAATGGTTTAATAAAAATGTACTCCCGGCCGGACATATAATTCGATCCATCTCGCATTTTTGTCGTAAAGAGCTAGAATACAAAAATAGTGTTATAATCGAAGAAAAAGTTTTCCCCCGGTTTTGCAAACCCAAATTCCCAACAAGGACTTATGGAAAAGACGTTTAGTATACTAGTTTCAAAATTGCATAATACTTTTTGACCAATCAACAATATTTAAGCTCAGGACACTGAATACTGAAAATCAGCGATGGCTCGAATTAAATGTCCGGAAGTGTATAATTAAAATAATAATATGTAGACATTTTTGTTTTGTAAACACGGAAACTAGGTTTTGGACGAAAAAACACGGGAAGAAGCCATTTTTTTGGCGTTGGCGAAGTTTACGAGGATACACTGCGCTATGCTTTTTAACGAAAGAGATTGAAGAAGTTTCAATGAATACACAATATTTGTAAAGTGTCGTGTAGAAATAAATGGAGAACCGTGCATTTGGAATACTTACAAAGAAATCTCCACAAATTAAAAAATACCCGAGCGCGAGATACATAAAACGAAACAACAAAATGTGACTCAAATATTGGCAAATTGCAATGCAGAGCGGGAACTCTGCCAGCAATTAGCACCCTACGACTGAACCCATTCATATAATTTAGTCTGAGTACTTAAATTTACAGAACGCTACAAACAACCTTTCCGTTATACCAATCTTTAAAAAAATCATAGTTACAATTGTGTAACAAATAGAGAATAACATTCCAGTCATTTCTAAATGAACAATTAAATTGAATATCGCCATTTGATGCAAAGACACGCAGGATCTTAAAAGGATCAATGAGACCGCTCGACACCAGAGAAAACAGTAACGTTGTCGATTGCAGATCCCCGCACGATTTCAAAATAGAAATATTGAATAGACTGTGTCAATGTTAACAATAAAAAGCTGTATGAGGGTAAATAGTACTTTGAACTTTTTGTTCATTTGTTTCAACCCATTTCTAGCCGAGGCACTCCAACTAAAATACATTGTATCGGGTAAAATAATAAATAATCTCAGCTTGAAAATAAATTTTTCCTCTACTGAATCAGTTCTCGCGGGTCGAGTGGCAGGCACACTGGCTTTTTCAGAATTTATTCTTTTACAAACGAAACCAAAGCTATTTGAAAAATGTATACCGTATACTACACGTGTGATGGCCACATGGCTTCAAAATCTTTCAGACGCAAGTACCACAGAACTGTTCAGAACTGCAACTTCACGGACCTAAATTGCCACAATGATAGTCGACCTGTGATAGGAGATGGCAATGCATGTGATATTTAGTTCAGTTGATATTAAAAAAAAATCATTGGTATATGTAAACTACTTATTGAATACAACGGTTTTCTTGTACAATTTCGTGGTAAGTTTGTGTTCTTTTAACCGACTTCAAAAAAGGAGGATGTTCTCAATGCGAGTGTGTTTTTTTGTATGTACATATGTTGCGCGATAACTCCGGCCGGCGTTTGTGAACCGATTTTGATGATTCTTTTTTTTCGGAAAAATATTCTTCATCTAAGGGTGGCAAACCAGGAGATGAATAACTTTTGAGTTGTTTTTTTAGTACTTTGTACTGAAATTATAGGTCATCTGTCATTAAGGTGCAAATTTAACTTTACATATAAAAAAAAACAGTCTAAAAATTGTGAATATAATATCTTAAATTAAGTTTACAGCATCACATCTGTTTATTCTTCTCACTTAATATCGATGCTGACTGCTCCAGTTCGGATTCAGCCGTATCAAAGGGTTCAACACTAAAAAATGTTCGAACTTTGTACTAATATAACAAAGCGGTGGAGTAATTTCACAAAAAAAGAATTAGTATCATAGTATCAGGTAGTAAAATATTGTGATATTCACTAAACTACTACTAATACACTAAACTTTATAATACACTTCCGGGCATTGGAGCCACGACGCATTTTTAGTATTAAGTGCCCTAAGCAAAGTGTTGGGAATTTGGATTTGCAAATCCAGGGGAAAACTTTTCTTCAATGATAACACTATTTTTGTTTTCTATCCTTTTACGACAAAAATGCGAGGTGGCTCGAATTATATGTCCGGAAGTATTAGTATAATAATCTAAATTGTTTCGTAAAGTGAATAAATCAGTATGAGATAGACTTTTTGGCCCTTTTCGTGTTAATGTTCACTGCCTTATTTCCGTGCCAATTTTATTATTCGAGATTTTGTAGAGCTCGTTGTGACAGGGTTCGTCCAGGGCAGTACTGCCACCTTACCTATTTCTGCCGGCAAGCTCCTCCTTTTTTGAAGTCGGTTAAAAAGTAAAATCCGCTCATAATACTTAATTGAACGCGTTCTGTATAAAGTTCCTACATACCGCCTGGCTACAGTTTGTACAAATGCGTAATATAGGTACCTACATAACCTCACACGCGATACATGCAGCCGTAGACGCATACCACACCTAGAGGTGCCGGTGATGATTTTATACCGATTTATCGGATATCGAAGTTATAACAGGTAAAAGAACTAGTATTAATTGCTATTTCGGTAACTACTCTAGCAAACTATAAAGTTTTTAATGCCTGGGTCTGTCATTTAAAAAAAATAAACAACTTCAAAAATACGTCACGACAATCGTGTGTGTTATTGTTTGGGCTGGTGATTTCGGTGTTTATTTATTGAAAACATACCGTAAGTAGCGTTTTTTAAGTTTACCCTGAATATAAATGTTTATAAACTATACTTTAAGGAGTAATTTCATGGTAAACGTTAGAACCACTCAAACGGAATATTATCATATTTATCCAAGTACACCAAAAATTTCATTAGTGCTTTTTAAGTGCAGGATTTGCGGTGTATTACTGCATTTTATTTGAGATGTTTTGTTGGTAATACGAAGGGTATTTATTTAGCAATGCAGAATAATAATTTTTATTTATAAAAACTTTTCTAATTTGCGAAACCAAATAGCCGCCATTTTGCGGTATGAGGAGCGCATCGCGTGAGCGGATAAAACGAAATCGTGGTGGCAACTATTATTGTATAAATGTTGACCAACCTGAGTCAGGGCAAGCAGTATACTGGATACCGCAGAAATTCCTCTCCATCCTGATACATATCCCGTAGTCTTGGTTGCTGAGTTGCAATCCTGAAGCCGGATCATAGTTGAAGGAACGAAGTTGTCCAGACACGCCGGTGTAGTATTGTAGACAACCTTCATCAGCTAGGGATGAGCAAAAAATTTAATCGAAACAAATTGAAAAGTTATTCATAGTATCATATTTTCTTAATTACCAAATTTTCCCTCAAGAGATTATATATTCGTTTGTATATTTCTTTAACAATGTACAATATACACATGTACATAGTCAGTAAGTAGTCGTAATTAATCACCATGATGTCAGATTCAACGGTTGATTTCCCATAAAGTGAAATACCCACAATGAAGTGAATAAAACTTTGTCTTCCAACTTTGGATTATAAGCTAACCAGTTAGTTTGGTTTGATGAGTATAAACCAAAGATATTGAAATTGACAAAGAAATCTAAAATCATTGTTTTAATTAAGCTCTACTGATTCTAACGAATATTGTACTTCATATGGCTCTTATCCACCTGCATGGAACTGTACCTCGCTATTTATAGTTAGTGTCCCTTCGGTTGTATAACATGAGACAGGACTGTAAAGTTTGCAATCAAAGGCAAAATTTGCATCATTTTACAGGAAATTGTACCTTATTCATAGCCCGGCTATCTGGTTCAGCTCGTCAGTAGTCTTTACGGTGTTATATGCTATACCTTTATAAATTGTACTGCACGGAATCTGGGTGACCTTCACTTTCCATATCCTTTCGAAAGAGTTGCCACTGGTGACGAAGGTGAGCTTTACTGGATTCGTTGTACCGACTCCGGCATCGATGTACACTATTTGGAAAGCACCGAAATTATTTCATAATGTTTGCTCATAAAATAGAGGAAAAGGAATTAACAACGCAAAGGAGTTTAAAATCTAATAGAAGGAGGTCAGGTCAAGGAAGGAGGAAATCAGATTCGTACTGAGTGGACTGGAGTTTAAAAGATGGACGAAGGAACTCAACTGTGACAGCCTTGATTCACACCACATATTGCAGGAACAGGGTTACCACCAGACACGATGAACTGGTCCTGATTGCAGACGTGATTCAAAGGCTCGGGGCCCGATATTGTGAAGCGATTGAAGTCCAACCTAATAAAGAAATAAAGTTTATAGAGGTGCATATGCTGTGAGGCCACTACAATTGATGGAGACATTTTGAAGGTAGTAGGCATAAAAATAGGTAGTAGGTAATTTTGGTTGGTTTGGTCCAAATAGAATATTCGAGAAGTAACAAAGTTTATAATCAGACTAAAAATGAAACTGGTATTATTGTCCTAAAAGCATTGAAAAGAGCAGGTAGAAAAGAGAGAATTGTTGTCTTAGTGATAATATATTATTATAGATAAAACCTATTGCATCATCATTGGCTGTTGGAATACGTTACCCGTCCCTCTAGTTGATAAAATTCCTGGAACATTAACAACGATCGGCTTACCGGACCGTCACCAGGTTGCCAGTTCATCGAAGTGGGATCCTCAGCTATATCTTTTTAAGGGTACCTGATCTGGCAGACATCAGGGTGTGACTTAATGATGGTGAGCTCGCAAGATCCAGTGCCGTCGTACGAAGAAGGATACCCTGCGTTGACGAAATAAGTCCCATTTTCCGATGTCGTACTGCCGCAAGATGTCATGACTGTTGGATTACACAGGGTGCTCATATTATGAACTAAGGATTAAAAGTGATAAAGTCCACAGTATGTGGCAGGTTACAAAAAGAGATGGCTGCTTTCATTCTTCGGAAGGCTATGCTAACAAGTTTGTCAAGGTAACGCGTAGGTTATTTTAGCGTAAATATGGACGAATTTTTAAAATTAGATTAATCATTTAAAAAGTCGCCATTTAGTCGGTTTGTCGCAAAATACTAGATTTAGTCGTACCGTTATTATAATAATTATACGGGTGTTTTACTGTTCACGCTGGAATAAGCCTATACTAGCGGGACCATCGCGAGAAAGTACCTACCTTACATTTGATTGCACCCAAAAATTTTATAATATGGTTGGTTCGTTTCGCAAAATTTTTTAATTAATTACTTACAAAAGACGTTAAAAATAATTTGAAACTCACAAATGCAGCATAGTCCGAAGCCATTAGCGCAGTAACCATTGGCAGATCCACCGCGCGCAGAACACTCTCGCGCAGTCATGCAAGTACCGTTGTCGCCCGATGCGCCGGCGCATCCGCCGTTAGGAAATGTTACCACCGTGAATAAGGAAAGGACTGTGGATATCAATAATATTGTCCACATATATAAATAATTGAAAATAGTTTAATTTTAACCTCTCAGGTTCCGGATTCGATTCCCGACCGGGTCAATTTGGAAAAACTAACTTTTCTATATTATCTCGTGTCATAGCGTTTGTAGTGGTCGTTGTTTGCGATTTCCATAACAACTTTCCTTCCATGAGTAACCACAGTTGATTTATTTAAACTGCGAAGTTTGTTAACTATGTAGTTAAAGCTGTAACGCTGGCAAAGAATTCAAAGTTGTAAAGAGTGAATTCGCAGTCAAAACTTGGTTTACAAGATAAAGCATAATATGAATCAATTTGTTGTATTTTTAAAATACCTAGTCGTACTATTGTAACAGAGCGATACATTTTTGTCGGTCCATCCGGTATACAGGTTGTAATAGTTAAATGTGCCCAGGCGATTATTCCGTAAATATAAGAGATATCAAAAACCTCTAAACTGATATCGAAAACACGTTACACAATGAGCAAAACGACGTCAATAACTTTTTCAAAATAAATCTAGAAATATCCAAAACTTTTGCCTTAAACGCTCGCCGTTTTTAATATGACATTCGTTGACCGCCTTTAAGAGGTAACAATAAGATTTCAAATAACGAAAGCTATAGAAATAAACTATCTTTTATTTGAATAAAAACAAAATTATGCTTATTTTTACAAAATTTTGAATTCAAAGTAGTTGTTAGAAGAAGGGAATCTACAACCTCTCTTCGAATGTCATATTAAATGTATAGGAGCACTTCAAGTAAAATTTTTTGTTATTTCTAGTTTATTTAAAAAAAATTATTGATATCGTTAAACTCATTAAGTAACGTACTTTCGATATCAGTTTAAAGGTTTTTGATATCTCTTATATTTACGGAATGGTCGCCTGGGCACACTTAAAGATTACATCCTTTTTACCACGTTTGTAATAGCTAAAATTTCTCCATTCTTCGTATTTAACCATTTATGATAGCCCCTTGTATTTTTATAAGTAAACGAAGTGCCAAGCTTTTCATTGTAAAACCTTCGCTGAATTCGCATTGTGGGTGTATTTTGGGGAAGAAAAGGCGTAATAGAAAATTTTAACAAAAATTACTTTTCATATATTTTGGTTACATTTTCATGTCATTTCGATCTACACGTATACTTCTTTTTGTATACTTCGTATATTGGCTTTTACGCCTTTTCTTCCTTAAATTTCGATATCATTAACCAATATCATGCTCATTATTATATGGTAGTCTAGTGCTGGTACAGTTCTAATTAATTATGTATCATGTGCTTATTGAATTTAATATATTATCTTAATTAAAACCCCAATTTTTATTTAAAGTAAATTTAATTGGGTTTTTCGCGCTACTTACACCGACTTTCCTTTTGAACTGGGGGCCAAAATCTGGGTTCAGGATTTTGGTCAGAATTCGCCTTTTTTATGTAGCCCCTCCATTTCGGTAGCGGTCCTCCTAAGATGCTTCTTCCAGTTTTTCTTGCGTCTTTGATATTATTTGATTCACACAAATCGCACAGAAATAAACCTACGAGAATGACTATATTTTTGGTGTTCATATTGTGTACGTGTGAAAGTTGATGGGAAAATGTGTGAAAAAATTTTTTAAGTCAATATATAACACTGTTAAAGGAAGGGGAACAATGAAATTTCTCCTATTACGTGTTGAGGTGACAATACACTAAATGCCCACTTAGCGATTGTTTAGTCGTTTTTGTACACGCACGATCGTCCGCATGGAACGACGAGAAGTAAATGTTGCGTTGCAGGCTTAGCGCAGAATAAAAGGTTTTATGATGTATCTGGGCACATCATGCAATGTTAATATTAGTCAAGAAAGTCCAAAAACGCCTTACGTCAGCTTATACAGAGTTATTTGCTTGTAAAATACTGACAACCACGCCACATCCATATTAGTAACATCGTAAAAGAAATTCGTCCAGGGAAGTACTGCCACCTTACTTTTCTGCCGCCAAGCGGAAACGTGAGCATTGCTGCGTTCCGGTTTTTAAAGGGTGCTAGTAAAACTAAGGGAACTTGAGACTTGTCAACTTATGTTTCAGGGTAACGGGTGCGGTGGCAGTGCCCGTCAGATCTTTGTGATTTGAAGCACAAAGTGGCACTGCAACTGTTATGGACAGACATGTCGCTTACCACCAGGTGCACGACTTGATCGTCCCGTCTCATAGTATCATAATAAAATAAACAACTACTTTTGTTTGTCCGATGACATGTTGACTTTATTGCTTTATTTTTATTTTATTTAATAAGGTACATCCACAGAATACCTAAAAACTTAAATAATTATGTTAATTTCTAATATATATCCTAACTGCCTCCCTGACCGAATAGTTATCATGCTGGTCTGCCACGCGGAGGTCCCGGTTTCAGTTCCCGGACCGGGAGAAATATTTGTATGGCCTACATTAATTTCTCTCATGAGTTTGGGTGTAATTTGTGGTTGTCTATGTGTGTGTCCATGGCACCCGCGACTCAGGGTTTCCTTAGTGCGGGGCTATGAGTGTGTGCGTTAAAAAAAGAGATTTTCTTTGTCATTAATAACTGGAAAGAAGATTGTTCAACAAAACATAATAAATTTACTAATAATATTTTTTCAAAGTCAAAGTCAAAGGCAAAGATTCTTTATACCATAAGTAAAATAAGTTTACTCTTGAAAACGTCACATTTAAACTACTGCTCGTTCACTACGCTGACCTCCCTGAGAAGAACGAGCAAGAAACTCTAGGGATTGTTCTCTTCAAATAAACTTAAATGCTATGGAACACACTTTGAATCAAATTTGTGTGGATTCTGGAGCCGTGTCGTCTTTCCATACATCTTTATATAACACGTCTTCAATTTTGTAATATGATTTTTCGATCAAAATATTTTTAATGTAGTTTTTAAACTTAGGAAACGATAAACTTAATATATGCTCCGGAATCTTATTGTAAAAACGTATACAGTTCCCCATAAAAGAGTTGTTTACCTTGGTTAAACGAAATCGTGGTACCATGAGTTTGGACTTAGCTCTAAGGTTAATATTATGGATATCTTCTTTCTTATTGAAACTATGTATATTTTTATGGGCATATAAAATATTTGAGTAAATGTACTGTGATGCCACAGTCATGATACCAGTCTCCTTAAACTTTTCTCTGAGAGAAACCCGAGAGCGTAGACGGTACACAGAACGAATCGCTCTTTTTTGCAATACAAATATGGTTTGAATATCTGCTGCTTTACCCCACATGAGAATCCCGTCCGAAATCACGGATGTGTCATCAACAAATAACACTATTTCGCAATGGTCCTTAACAAAGAATGGCAGATCATTAATATAACTCAGAAATACGAAAGGTCCAAGTATTGAGCCCTGCGGAACACCCATTTTTACTGGAGAACCCAAAGAAGTCACTCCATTTATGTCTACTTTCTGAATTCTACCGTCGAGATATGACGAGACAAGTTTCGACGCTTTGCCATTTACACCGTAATGCTCCAAACCCCTTCCAGCTTCCTAATAAAAGTAATATGATGAACGCAATCAAATGCCTTTGAGAGGTTACAGAAAACACCAATAGCGTTCTGGGACCTTTCCCAAGCATCAAAGACGTGTTTTAGTGACGCTACCCCCGCATCGCTAGTCGACCTAACACTAGTAAACCCGTATAGTTCACTATGAAAAATATGATTCCTACCGAAATAGGACAGTAATTGAGTCAGCATCACCTTTTCGAATATTTTACTTAAAGCCGGTAAAATTGAAATGGGCCTATAGTTGCCAAGATCAACTTTCCTACCGCTTTTGAATAAGGGAATAACCTTGCTGTATTTCATTAAATCGGGAAAACACCTTCGTCAACGCACCTATTGAAAGATACAGCTAAATGTGGGGAAATTAGATCAATAACTGAGTCTATAACAAACCCTCTAGAGCAAATCCTAGAGTTTCTTGCTCATTCTTCTCAGGGGAATCTGCCTTACGAATGAGCAGTAGAGTTTAACTATTGTGACGATTTCAAATGTAATAATGCTTACCTATGAAATAGAGATTATTTTGAATTTGAAATTTGAATTACTACTCTAATGTCTATCTATATATATTTTTATTGGCATTTTATCTTGGTGCGCTTCGTATATTTTGTTAAGTTTGAATTGGTTAAGTTTCTCAGTAAGATTATATGTAATTCTTATGGCAAATAAATATTCTTTACCCATAAACAACGAACAAAATCATTGAATACGTTACAAGATTGGCAAATTGCATTGCTGCAGACTTTCATAATATTTATACTTTTGTACCATAAGCCGCATTACATAGGCGTATTAGGCGAACCCAAAAATCTATGGATGTCGCGTCGTACAAAATATTACCAATCAAAAGTTCTGAAAATACACGGCCATAACTATAAGTTGAGTTTGGAGTTCGTTAATTATTTATCTACATGCAGAGGGGACCTGGATTTTTATAAATTTATGAAATTAATCACTTAGTAGCAGTAGAGCAAATTGTTAATGGGGTCGTCCAAGACAGCACCACCTTGCCTATTTCTACCGACAAGCAGTAATGTAACCATCACTTGCATTGTGGTTTTGAAGGGCGGTAAAATTACAGGCACATGAGACTTGTCACCGTATGTTTCAAAGCTCTGAGTGGCACTGCAACTGCTATGGACAGGAGTGTCGCTTACCACCAGACGCACGACTTGTTCGCCCCGTCCTTGGGTATCATAAGAAATAAGAAACTTAAAAATTAGTTAAAATTGATCTGTCTTAATAAAGTACCTATCAGTACAGATTATTGATAACCTTGGAGGCCACAGGTTGTATTACCTGTAGAAAAAATTAGGAAAACGGACTATTCGAAATTGGTTCTGCAGCTTGATTTTGATTGCATCTCCCGATCGGAAACTCACAAATTCGAAAGGTATAGTAGGAATCAGGTTCATCTTTTCGATCAGAAACCCATCTGATTTCGAGATTACCCTATCGGATCGATTTGAATATAATCAGAATGCTGGTCTGTAGGGGGAATATCATGGTTTATGTCCCGGTAAGGTGAAGTGGTTTGGAACTATTATATTGTCATATTTTGTTGACATTGTTTAATCTGCCTAGACAATTTTTTGTCATCGGACCGTGACATACGCGTGAGTCAACGAATTTGGCGAATAAACAGCTATTGCACCGGACGAACCTTTTTACTATCTATTGTATTTATTAGGTTTATGTGTCAATAGTTGCAACCGGTAATACTTATTTCGTAAAAAAAATACAATTAAATCTCACTGTTGGGCTCGGGTTCCTCTCAAATCAAAGCCAAGTTTATTCCATAGGTAAAATAAATTTACAATTGAAAACGTCACATTTACATTACATTACATGACATTAAGCTACTGCTCGTTCACTACGCTGATTTCCCTGAGAAGAACCAGCAAGAAACTCTAGGGATTGCTATTTTCAAATAAACTGAAATGCTACGGATATTCTTTGAATTTCCGTAACTTTGAATCAAATTTGTGTGGATTCTGGAACCGTGTCGTCTTTCCATACATTTTTATCTAACAAGCAACCTTCAATTTTGTAATATGATTTTTCGATCAAAATATTTTTAATGTAGTTTTTAAACTTAGTAAATGATAATCTTAATATATGATCCGGAATCTTATTGTAAAAACGTATACAGTAGGCTACCAAGGCCTCTTTTTTTTTGAGTTTTAAATAATCTATTTAAAACTCGTAGTTTGTAATTTGACGTACTCAAATAAGATGGTACAATGATGCTGACCTACGCGCAAATATATATCACCTACGTTATCTTACTAATAAAATGAAAATGAAACAGTGTTGCTTGGTTATATCCGTTTACAACTAAAAAGCCACTGAACCAGTGCAATTCACTAAAATGTTGAATTTACAATTTATAACAACAGTTGGCATAGCGCTGACGGAAGAAAAGAGTACTCGAAAACCTCGTTAAAAAACGTAGTACAGCTCGCACTCCGCCACAGATTACAACCACACACGAAAACAAGCAGTGGACACCATAAGTTCTGGAAATATGCGGCCACAATTATAGGTAGAGTTTTAGACCGTGTGATAGAAGTTTATCTAGATGATGTGCAGTGGTTTTTTAATTGATTAGATTAATAATAAAAAAATTAGTGAACAAAATATATCTGTCTTAATAAAGTAGCTAACATCACAGGTGATTGACGGCGTCGGAGGCCCCAGGTTGGATTCTCTGTAGGAATGATTAGGGAAATGAACCTCTCGAAATTGGTTCTGGTCAGATGCAATTTATTAGGTAAATATTGAATCTACAGTATAAAACAACAGTTGGCATGACGGTGACGCCGAAGAAAAGAGTACTCGCAAACCTCATAAAAAACATATGAAAGCTCACGCTCCGCCACAGATTTAAACCACGGAAGAAAAGACAATGGAAGCCTCGATTACTATCACAACAGCTGTCACCAAAACTCACACTATCACAATAACGATGCTATGAAACATCAACACAAATAATATTACAAATGCAACTATCATTTTTGCA